TTGAAATTATATTATTCTTATAATTTACTTTTAATCCACTGTATTGCATCAAGTACTACATAGCACTGTACTACTTATATCTGAATTGGGCTTGCCCGTGTATATATAAATAAATAAATAAGTAATAAAGTGGAACTCTGCCAAAAGCTGAAAATCTTATCTGATCCGCGGCGGAGCGGAGATAATTCATCCCGAAGGTACCAGACCATGGTACATTTTTCTAGGTTTGTTAACAGGCTCAATAGTTCAAGAACTGAGAAAATTCTGCTCTCAGTGCTTTTGTTCAAGCGTTTTTCATCATGTGTCAGCTTCAAATAAAATGTGTTAAAATAGAACAGTCGATGAGTTGATATTTTCTTACACAAACAAGTACGTATGACTTGATGAAAATGAAATCATGTGTTACATATTTCATTTACAAACATATAAATGAAAAAGATGTCAAAGACATTAAGGTTATTCATCCACTGAATTGGTTTATGTACCAATGTTTGTGAGTCACTCCAACTACAACTCTGGTATAATAGATAAACTTTTTCAATAACTACGGTATAACTAAAACAATACGGTTTAACTGAAAACTCCATTGAAAATTAAACACAGCTTCCTAGTATACACGCCAAAATACTAATCAATGCGTTCAGACAGATTTCGCAGGAAACTCAGTTTTGTAATACGTAGTTTGACTGATACCTTCTTGATTCATCTGAATAGAATAAAAAAGTTGAATATATTCATTCTTTCTTTAGGAACAAATATATTATATATAAAAATGAATACACAAAAATAACTTATGTTTTGTACAGATACTTTGAATATACTTCAAATTCTGAAAGCGAATAAATATGCTTTCTTACTTACAGTAATTGCAATGAATTGTGTTCAAAAACAACGTTCAAATATATACAATACATACATCAAACTATTCATTTGCATATATGGTCAATTTGATTTTTCTAGATCAACCCGTGATCTAAATACACTCCAATGAATTTTGTGCTTATTCAAGAAACACTATATTGTGAGATTTTCACTAAACACTAAATGTTCCGTGAAAATCTCACAGTAAAGTGTTTCTTGAATACGTTATGGACTTTCAATAGGGAATTTTGTGCTTTCTGAAGATCCGATCATGTCCTCATACGTACCCTGTTTGAACTTTTCGTTTCTCCTAAAAAACAACATCCCAACTGTTTTTTACTATTCAGCATCAATCTATATGTTATGACAACAGGTAGTAAGTAATCTACCATAACATTTAGTTTCACATGTAGGGCTATCTGATTTTTCAGCCATAGGTGTATTTTCGCAAATATGACTTAACGATTGGGTCTACGTGTAGCATATCGTGTGTTAGATTAGAGAGCCCAAAATCGAACCCTGTGGGACTTCCGTATCAACGTCGACAAATCTGAAATATTATCTTACTCTATCTCGATATATTGAAGTTATTGTGGATGTATTGGAAACAATCGCGTTGTCTCTGAAGTACTTTTACTTTGAAACACATTCTTAGTACCATTATTCTTCACATAAATATATTTTTGATGGATAATATTGACAAGTAAAAACTCAACTGTTTGAAGTGGAAAATTTCACTCTCGAACAAAATGTAGCAAAAGTCTTAGTTTATATGGATATGTTTCAAAAATAAACAGAAATATGGTTAAGAGGTCTGAAACTTACTAATGCAGTATTTCTGAGAAATACTCCTAGAAATATAACCCATTCAATTCAAATAAGATTCCTCTTGGCTGGGATTAAATCAAATAGGTGAATGAATGTCATTACGATGTCATCGATGACATAAGCAGATCAAGCTTATTCCGTGACATTAAAAATCGTAATTCATGAATGAAGTGTGTGTATTTTCTATGTTATCCAATTTGGTTAAAACACGATTATAAGAAAACGGTCGAACACATCCTAATGAACAAAAGACATTAAGATACTTTCAGGTAAATGTGTTTCAAATGTTACCACTTTTTCAGCGTTATCGCCAAAATGGTGATTTGTGGACTTTCATATTTTTGGTGATTTCTGGTA